GAACACATTCTAGTCATGTCAAAAAACAGATTCCCGGACCGTCTGCAGGCCGGATTTAGAAGGTGATTGGGCTGGATCTGGCCCCCGGGCCTTAGTTTGTCTACCCATGCTCTGCATGCAATAGAGTCGCTCTACCACTCGTCTGTGGTCCTTTAGGAATGGGAATTTCAGGGGCAGTGATGTTAGGTCTAGTTTACTTTGCTTGAAGGACGCTAAAGGCGCTCTTGGAGGAAATTGATTTTCTAGATCCATTTCAAGCAGGGGTTAGGCCTGGTGTTGGCACAGAAACTGCTTTGGTTGGCCTGTATTATGACTTCTGTCGGGGGGGGTGCGCTTTCCCCTCTGCAGTGGCCTTTGATTGCCACATCAACCACCAGGTAAGCTTGATTTGATTTTCCCCTCGTTCCTGATATAGACCTTCACTCCCCTTCATTTTTGGAGGGGGAAAAGTGCGTCCTATAGGGCGAAAAATACGGTACACCTAAGTTGCATATTTATTCTGCCCTTGTTCTTCATTTAGATATTCACTCACCCCTTCTTCCTGGTGGTGATTGTGCGGGAACGATTGTGTGGTTTGCCTCAGGTACCAAAATATATTGGGCCAGACCTGAGCAAAACAGAACAGGACTTATTAATGAACACATGCAAAACTGGTATGGACTAGCATCCCAGTGAGCCATCCATTTTTACAAGTCAGAAGTCAGCATTGGAGAATATCATGGGATACAAGATCACATCAGAGTGCAGGCAGGCCACGTTACTGAAGTAAAACTCATTAGGAACTAGAAGACTTCCAATGCTCCTTACTGACTAGGAGGATCCAGTGGCCAGCCTGGGTGGCCAGAATCAATCCAGGGCCTGGAAGTACAGAGGACCCGCCACTGATGCAAGGGTTCTGTTCCAGGGGTCCACATACAAGGGCAAAATTGTGTAAAGCCAGGAAACCCCCAAATCCACCCACTTCTCCCTGTCCAGAGCCCTCTGCCTTGCTTACAGGGCTCTGGGAAGGTTATGAGAGTGTCCCCAGGGTTCTCATGTGACTTTTCCAGAGTCTAGTAAGTGAGGCACTCCCTTCCTTACCAGCCTCTGAGAAGGATGAACAAGGGCTCTGGAGAGCTTACGTGACCTTCCCAGATGATAGTAACCAAGGTGGAAGGCTTGAAAAGCACTTTCCATCACATGTTTTCCCCTTCCTTCCTTCCTTCCTTTATTTGCCATGCATCTAAGGTTGTGATCATGTAAGTAAATTACCGTATTTTTCGTCCTATAGGACGCTCCGTCCTATAGGACGCACCTAGTTTTTTGGGGGGGAAATAAAGGGGGGGATTTCCTTTATTTTCCCCCCCAAAACCAGGTTGGGGAAACCAAACCAGGTCGGGGAACAGCGGTATGGCGGCGCTCCGCCTCCCCGCTGTCCCCCAAGCTTGTGGGGCTGGCCGATGTCTGCCTGAAGCAGCAGGCTGCTATCCGCAGGCTAGGGAGCCCTGCGGGAGTTCCCGCAGGGCTCCTCAGGCTGCGGATATCTGCCCGGCGCGAGGGGCGCTCTGCTTCTGGGCGCCCGCACGCCGGACAGCAGGCTGCTATCCGCAGCCTAGGGAGCCCTGCGGGAACTCCCGCGGGCTCCCCAGGCTTGCTGATAGCTTCCTGAAGCCTGGAGAGCGAGAGGGATCGGTGCGCACCGACCCCTCTTGCTCTCCAAGCTGCAGCAAAAGCCTGTATTCGCCCCATAGGACGCACACAGATTTCCCCTTCATTTTTGGAGGGGGAAAAGTGCGTCCTATAGGGCGAAAAATACGGTACACCTAAGTTGCAGCCCCCTTGAAGTTCACTGAGAAACTTCCACCTGCAGTTCAGCGGCTCACTATAGGGGGCAGCCAAGTAGAAACCTAGTTGCTCCTAATAGATGCTTGGAGGAAGAGTGGGATAAAAATGTAATGAATATCTGTAAATTATATAGTGATCAAATGTCTAACAGCTTCTCCGAAAATTTAGCATGTTTTCTTCCACTGCTAAGAAGAAGAAAAAGTGGCTGGTCATTTGAACTCAGATTTGTTTATTTATTTTTTAAGACACTCCTATGGCAAAGCCTGTGAACACTAAGCAAACTTCAGAGACTTGGAGATTTATGTGCTAGAGTTTATGGCTGTGCCTTGCATGCCTCTTCCTTAACAGGAAGGAAAAGCAATACCTTACCATGACATGCCTCGTGAAGAATTGTATTCGGAAAGCATCTCCTTCTTCCCCTTCCCCCAGAGATGATTTGAAAATCTTCACAAGCTTACTCTGTTGCAATCCTGTCAAGAAATATACGCCACCATATAGAGAGGTGTGACAACAAGGGAAGGCCAGATGAGAAAGTATCACATCGAACCTCTTCATCAAAATGTTGGCAAAATCCAAAGGGCTTTTCAGCAAAAAGATATGATGAATCATGAGTGCCCAGCCAACTCTCTGAAATGAAGACTGTTGCAAAATCCTAAGAGCTCCAATAGCAGCTTGATAGTGCCTCTGATGATCTGGAAGGGAAAGAGGTACATGTTTTTCCTCCCATTTGGAGAAACTCCAGTAAATTTGGTCCAGTAGAATTTCAAAGTGGCTCATTTGTACCAGGGAAAACTCCAGAGGGAATGATCCATCAGGTTGTACCAAGAAAAAGCTGGCTAACCAAATGGCCTATTGGCTGGTGCCCATGATATCACCAACTCACGTCTCTAGCACCAGTTCCTTGGAGTCATTTTGCAATTCATTTTTATTAATGAACATAAGAAGAGCTATGCAGGATCAGACCAAAGGCTAATCTAGTCCAACTGTGACTAAGCAGATGCCTATGGGAGCTCCACAAGTAAGACATGAGTGCAATAGAAATCTCATGTTTCCCCAACAACTATTATTATTTAGAGACTTACCAGCACTGATGCTGTTAAGATATTATCATCATGATTCACAGCCATATGCTTCTGTAGGTCAGCTGAGAAGCTCAACAGAGTTTCATGATCAGTGATGGACCTGAAGCTAAAAAGTTATGGGAGCCCATTTGCAACCAGCAATGAATGGGTAATCACTGTTATCTTCTACAATGGGGTTGTTCCATGACAGATCACTTTCTAAAAAAATTAACTACTACACCTCAGATCCTGATTAAAATAGTGGGACTGAATTATCTCACATGCTAAAGTCACTGGTGTGAATAAAAAATTCCTATACTTTGTAGTTTTTGAGTAACCTTGACATGCCACCTTTACAACATCTGTGCTACTGACTCTCAAATTTTGGGATTTATTCAATCTGAGTTGTGTGACTCAAATTGGGTCTACTAGACCTACAAAATTTAAGCAGTGTGGACTAAAGCCAGTTGTGAAGGCCCTCTGGGATTATGAGCCCTGAAGGTTAAGCTCCATTAGTTTCATAGTAGATCTGCCTGTGCTCATGATTTAACACTGCACAGTGGTACCTCGGGTTAAGAACTTAATTCATTCTGGAGGTCTGTTCTTAACCTGAAGCTGTTCTTAACCTGAGGTACACTTTAGCTAATGAGGCCTCCCACTGCCGCGCAATTTCTGTTCTCATCCTGAAGTAAAGTTCTTAACCCGAGGTACTATTTCTGGGTTAGTGGAGTCTGTAGCCTGAAGCGTCTGCAACCCAAGGTACCACTGTATAACTGAAGGCTCCTGGATCTCAGGATATCCCTGACTGCCTTCCTACCTGCATCCAGTTCAAGGGGTGGCACTGGCTATTAGTCTCCTCCTTCATCTCAGTGTTGCCCTTATAGAAGTCAGCAGGCTGGAGGATGGTGGCAAAACTGGAAGTAGGTGACTCTGCCCGTCATTGATTTGGAGTCCATCTGCCATTGGCTCCCTGCTTTCTGTCTTCCTAGTCTCAGTGACAACCAGCCAATGGGAAGATACTTCTTCACACAGCACATAATTCAACTATGGAAGTCGCCCCATGGGAGGCAGTGATGGCCACCAACATGGTGGCCTTCAAAGGAGGATCAGACAGATTCCTGGAGGCAAATGATATCAAAGGCTACTAGTCATGATGACTATGCTCTCTGCCTCCATGGTCTGAGGTAGTAATACTTCTGAATGCCAGTTCCTGGAAACCACAGGAGGGGAAAGAACTCTTGTGCTTGAATCCTGCTTGCAAGGTTTCCTAAAGGCATCTGGGTGGCCATTGTGAGAACGGGATGTTGGACTAGATGAGCCGTTGGCCTGAACCTGCAGGATCTTCTCATGTCCTTATGTTTCCCATTCCTTGCAGCAGGTTGGACATGGCAATCTGTATTCATAGGATGCATTTGAAGGCAACAAAACTATACAGTTAGTTTTTAAACATTAACTATCGCATTAGATCCAGCAAGTCGATAAAACGAGAAAAGAAACAAGGGCCTGCTCTCTCCTTCCGATAATGTCCTTGATATTCCCTTTGCGAGTGTATTCTCCTATTCTCTTTACCTTATCAACCCTGCTTTATAATAGCAAATAAATGCATCTCTCTGAGATTATTGGCATGCCATAAAATAGGGAGCTGAGGGAGGGAGGAAAGCTGTGTCTTGAAATTTGTGGGGTTTCAAATAAATAGGACAATCTCTGCAGTTTCTGCGACTCCTAAAAACAGCTGTGACACTCGTTATCTGCAGCCACATAAACACAGTTTATCAATGCAATTACAGGGAGGGAAAAATATTTCTCTCTCGGCTTTCTCAAGGATATAAAAAAGGCAAACAGACCGAGGAAATTACCTACCGAGGAACCTGGATAGAAGCTGAAAGCATGCCCAGTGGGAGAAACAGGATATTAGTCTGCTGCGCTTAGCGGCAGTGGCTGCCACACATCAGGTGAGGGTGAGAAGATTTCTGCTGCCATATTTCTGCTGCCATGAGAATATAGGAGGCTGTTTTATAGTGAGTCAGAACTATCTGTCCATCTAGCTCCATATAGTCTACAATGTCTGGCAGCTGCTCTCTGAGATTTCAGACCAGGGTCTCTCCCAAGCTCGCCTGAAGATGCCAGGGACTCAACCTGGGGTCTTCTGCATGCAAAGCAGATGCTCTGCTGCTGAGTCAGGTTCACTGGAAGTTTGGAAAACTGCTGTAACACCCTTCCCCCCCTGTTCCTCCTCTGAGGAGACCATCAGGCTCCAGGTCTGGGCAGAGCTGAACCCTGACACCTTCCTACCCAGGAGGAACCAATGGCCAGTCTATGCAGAGTCAATTCACAGCTTGACAGTACTTTTCCAAGAATGTACCACCTGCAATTCCATGGTCCATCATATGTGGCAGATGTCCACGGATCCCAGAAGTTGCTGATACCTGATTTTCACTGCTCCTGCCTTCCAGTTTAACTAGGATAATTTCTAACAACATTCTGCATTTGGAATAGGTGCGGTTAGCCATAGCATTCAGTTCCTTGTTTGCATTTTTTCGCTCCACTACATTACCAGTGTATGTGAACATTGATCTGCTGCAATCCATATGTTTTACAGAATATCAGTGCTTACGTATTTTGAACAATATGTGTTTGTTTGTTTGTTTGCTTGTTTGCTTGTTTGCTTGTTTGTCTATCTGTGTGTGTGTGTGTGTGTGTGTGTGTGTTCCCGTTGCCTGCTCTCCAGTGCCTGTTATGTCACAACATATTCCTTTAAATAAATAAATAAAAACACATTCTGATATTCAATACAAAGTGAAACAGCTTATTTAACAAGCTTGCAGACAGGATTTGGGTACTAGAAACAGCTTTCTTAATGTGACACCAAAACTTCAGAAGCCAGTGGCAGTCCTGCAAAGAGCCTTCTGACTTTTATCTGCTTACGTTGACAAGATTGTGTAATGCTCTGCAGGCTTACTCAGATAGTGTAGCCGACTCTAAAAACATCAATACACAAGGAATGCATTTGTTGGACTCTGAAGTATATCATTTCAAAAGGGCCCCCCGCTATGCCATTTCTGATGGCTTTATTTGCAAACATGTTCAGTAATCAGCTTACATTGCAGTAGCAATATTATTGCTTAGAAATTTCACCGTGCCGAACAGCTGCATTCTTTTATAAGCTTCTCAGAGAAGCAGCCAGCTTTCTTGTTACAGCCCACCACCCTGTGTAGAAAAGAAAAATGAGTAGGCAAGTTGGGGGTGAAGAAGAAACAGGGAAAAGTATGAGGCACACCCAGCAGTGGGTCTGAAAAGGAAGAATACCCGTGAATTTCTTCTTATCTGAATTTCATCCTTCATGCTGGAGTTGCAACATGAACGAGGGTTGTGTGCAAATGGCCCTCTTCAATTTCTCCACCCTCAGGCTCGACCTCCTTTATCCTTATAGAGGGAGCATCCCAATTAGATTTACAAGAAGCCATGGTAAAATGGAGAAGAGGTGTTTTGTCAGAAAGCAGAAGACACAAAATGAATCCTACAGATTGTGTTTTGTCACAAGATAGCACTTTGTCAGCAAATTATCCCTGGAATAGCAGTGGAATCCTAATTTGGGCCTACTTTAGGGAAACCTTTGTTTAATAACATCCATTATATCCAGTTTTCATAAATTCAATCCATTGGATCTATTTACTTCTAAAATTACAAGGTTCTTTTTCTACAGCGGGTGACAAAAAGAAAAATCTATTAGAAAAATGTAAAAAGGTAAAGGGGCCCCTGAACATTAGGTCCAGTCGTGGACGACTCTGGGGCTGCAGCGCTCATCTCGCTTTACTGGCCGAGGGAGCCGGCATACAGCTTCCGGGTCGTTCTGCTCTGGAATGAGCTGTGCTTTTTCTGGAAGTGGAATTAGCAATCTCCAGTGTTCTTTCTTTATATCTGAGTTTTGTACAAAACCCTTTGGAAGAGTATTCAGCTCATAGAGATGGGTGACTCTTATCAACTTCAATTTCCCGTTTTTCCAATCCTAAATTCACTTCTCCACATTTACTTTTTTTTATAATCAACCTCATGAAAATCCATCAGCATTTTAGTGTGTTGCCATTGTTGTGCTGTTATTATTAATTGCCTTCTAAACCACCATGTTGAGATGATTTACACAGAAGATAATTAAAAAACAGTTAAACAAATGCAAAATCAAACACAATTACATTTAAAACAAGTCTTTGGGGTTCCCATTTTTGCTCGTTTATTCCATTCAGGGTTGGGGCATGTCTTTCCTGCCTAATCGCAGCAGAGCAGACACTGACAGGTATTCACCAAGGGTGCCATTCTCCCCACCAACAGGAATTCTCCAATGTAGTGTTGTTCCAAAGCATTGTTAAGAGCATGGGTAGGCAAACTAAGACCCGAGGGCCGGATCCGGCCCAATCGCCTTCTAAATCCGGCCCGCGGACAGTCCAGGAATCAGCGTGTGTTTACATGAGTAGAATGTGTGCTTTTATTTTAAATGCATCTCTGGGTTATTTGTGGGGCATAGGAATTCATTCATTTTTCCCCTTCAAAATATAGTCCGGCCCCCCACAAGGTCTGAGGGACAGTGGGCCGCCCCCTGCTGAAAAAGTTTGCTGACCCCTGGTTAAGAGGGAAATGGCAAGGGCCAGTGGAGGCAACCAATTCTGTGGTAGCTGCCAAATGCCCCCCCTCCCCGCCCCCTCTAAAAAAACCCCACTCATAATGCTGTGCAAGAGCATTTCGCATTGCAGGTGGGTAGAATCTTGGCTGCCACTGGTGTTTGCTTCACATAGCAACAGGGAGAGACACATTTTAAAGGGTGCAGAGTGGGTCTCAAAGATCAATGCTCACTCGAAAATGAAAGATTAGCTAACAAAGAAGACGCCAGACGGGTGTGGTTTCAACAAAGGAGGCCCTGGGACAAACAAGGCAATTGTGCGCGAAAGTGAATGCAACCCTGGTTTGGTTTTTTGTGTTGTTTTTTTAAAGAACTTGTGTACTGCCACTGAAGACATGATTGTGTTATTTCAAACAGACAGTAGACAATCCATGCACCTGATATATATTCCGGAAGGAATTATATGTTGTTCTGGCAGGGCAATTTGCACGTCATTGGTTTTTATAGCCCTCATTCATGGTGACTACATTGATCCTTGCAGAATGGATTTTCAGCATCCTTCCATCACTGTGCTTGAGCTCTCCAGGATTTCCCCCACTTCCTTATTGTCATGTTTAATTCCACGCTGTCAGGTTTATTTCATCTTAATTGCTGAGAATTTTGGTGCAAACAGCTCCATGGCATCCTTCACGTTGCGGCTATGCAATTTTAAAAATAGATTATTTGCACAGGGACATCAAACAAACAGAGAGACACACACACAACCGTATATCAAAATCACCATGGAATACATCTTGCAGGGCAGGGAGTTACTATGGATATAGCCAGCCAAAAAGAGAGATTCCATGCTGCTTCTCAAGAGAAGTTACAGAGTAAAGATTAGTATGAAGAACACAATAAGAGCCCTGCTGGTTCAGACCAAAGGCCCACTTATCACAGTTTTTTGTTTCCCCCAAGGGCCAACTGGAAACCTGTGGGAATCCTGCAACCAATAGCCCTTCCCCATTGCTGAACTCCAGCAACTGGTATTGCATGGCGTATGGCCTCTGAGTCTGAATCTTTCACAGAGCCGTCCTATCTCATAACCTGAGAGGACTGAGCCAGGAACCAGGAGCTGCGGGATAAAGTCTGCAGTCAGATGCCAGAAGCAAAGGATACGGGAACAAGACAGAAATCAGAACCATAAGATACATCAAAAGATACAAGAACACGACACAGCCCTGAAAGATGTTGCTGCTTGAGCAAGGCTCAACAAAAACAGGGATAAGGAGAAATCCTGGGGTGTGGATTTACTCCACTGCCCAGCTCGCCGGGTGCCACTCCCTGTGGATCTCTCCGGTCAGCAAAAAAGGAGTCTCCAGCCAAGTTAAAGAAGCAAACAGTGGCCAGTAGACCTGATCTTTATTCGATGCAACAAGATTCAAACACACAAAGAGTAGGAACCCGAAGCATGGGGTTGCGTGAACTTTTAAGACCTCTCCCCATTTCCCATAATATATTTTTCAACAGCATCATCAAACCATTGAATTTTGGTGATTATTTGGTTCTATATTGGATAGTCAGAGGAAACGGTACGATACATGGTATCTGCTTATTGCTACAGTTTTCCTGAGCCTCTTTGCTGTTGTGTATGTATGGTGCCTGTGTCAATGGTCATTGTCCTGGCCTTAGAGGCTGGGGGGGGGGGACTTGGGATTTTTTTGGGAGTTGTTTAACTGCCCCCCCCATTCCTCGTTTTAACAACAGAAAGCTTCTTATGGTCCCTGCTGTCTAGGGGAATCCAGTCACCAGAGTGGGTGGGCAGAGCCAGTCCAGGACCCCAGGATGAGAAATTGCTGAACTGGACACTGCAAAGCTGAGCTCAGTGGCTTGCCACATGGGGCAGTGGCACACAATTTGGTTTGATCACTGGCAACCTCTGGCATAGCTGCTGGTAGATCATAAATTTATCTATCCTCTTTTAAGGCCATCTCAATTGATGGTCAGTGTTGCACCTTGTGGCTGTAAATTCCATATGTTAATTAAATGCTTGTGAAGGAGTATTCTCTGTTGTCTTTCCTGAATGTCCTACCAGTCAGTTTCACCAGATAACTCTTAAGTTCTATGAGTGTAAGACAGGGAACTGGGGGTCTGCATAGCCACTATCTGCGTGGTGGATACTAACAAATGATAGCATCGAAAGAGCACAGCTCCTTTGGTTTCTGCCATTGCCAGTACACTAAGAAGAAGAATCGAGACAACCAGACATGGATGACTAGGTTATGAATGAATGAATCTTTAATTGCATCAGCCATTGGCCATAGCAATGAAACAACAGTACAATATACAAAGAATAAAAATAAAAAGTCATTATATAAAATACATTTTTAGGGTTTTGAATCAGTAGTCAAATAGTAGATCTTATTCTGATTGCCCCAGCTAAAAACCTTGCAACCTTTGTTGTCACCTGCTCATCTTGATCTGCCAAGAGAAAGGACACTGTGGCAGTGGCTGGGTGACCCAGAATGGACAATAAAAGAGGGGTGATAACCTCATTTCTCAAGTCTTTATAAAGAGTGCAAGCCAGAAGGGCA